ATTTGACGTATGATGAGGAGCCAGTGATTATCTTGTATTGGAAAGACATTATGCTGAGGAATAAGACAATGAGTTTGGTGAAAGTTTATGGAGGAATCTTTCAGCGGAAGATGCTACTTGGAAGGCAGAGAATCGGCTGAGAAAGATCTATCCCAGATTATTTTATGGTTATGGATGAATTGTAATTATTGTGTGAATTTCGAGGACGAAATTCTATAAGGTGGGTAGATTGTGACAGTCTGTCCCTGATTTTAAGAGTTTTTAAAGTTTTAATAAAGGATTTTACAAAAATGCCCTTTGAGGCACGCGCATTATTCGAGGTTAATCATTGTGTTGTGCCATCTAAGATTTGTTTTCTTGACATATCCTCGTAGTACTCGTCGCTACGGAAGCGTGGGCGCATACGGTTTATGATTTGGAGTTATAACGAAAAAGATTTTAAAGTTTAAAGTTTGAGCATTTTATGAATTTTATTATAAAATTTTTGGTGTGCCATTTGGATGGCCCAGATTAAAGAAAATCTGAAATGGATGGCTTGGATCTAAGGGAAAGAAAATAAAAATAAAAAGATGAAGGAAGGCTTTGTGTGTGTGTGTGTGCGCGCGTGACTGGTGAAGAAAAAGAAGAAGAAGAGATTGGGCACAGCTGCCCAACCAGAGGAAGAGAGCAAGAGCTCCGGGAGATAAATGAGAGAGAGTTGGGTGAATGGAGAGAAGAGAGAGAGAAGCCTAGCCAATCGGAACAGAGGAAAGGAGGAAAGGAGGGAGAGAGTGGCGCGGGGGATCAGCTGGATCCCTTTGGCCCGTTCTTGACCCGGTTGGCACCCATGCCTATTTTCGATGATTTTCACCCGTTTTTCCCACGAATTGCTTCAAGAAACCTCATGGGAAACACTCGAGGAGCCTTCCTCTATCCATTCCATCTCAAAATTGGAGAGATTTGGCTTTGAAAATGGAGAAAATCGTAAGAAGGGAGTGCGGCGGCTTTGGCTTCGAATCACCCAATCCCGAAGCAATTCCTTCCAATTGTTACCACCCATAGCATCCTCTTGAGGCCTAGAACAAAGCCCAAGCATTGGTTGGAACGGCGGAGTTGATTTGAGGACGAATTGGAACTCACCATTTCTAGGGTTCTGGTTTGATGGATCACGGGTTTGATGGAATTGGAGCCTTTCCAAATTGGCCTTTGGCCAAATTGGCCTTGGCCAAGTTTTAAAGTTTACTAATTACTATTGAGATCTTCATTTCTGTAAATTTTGGTAATTTTTGGAAATAGTTGGATTTTCCGGCGAGCCGGGGTGGCCGACCACCACTTGCGGCGGCCCGTGCGGTGACGCGTGGTCAGTGGCCCGCCAATGTCATTCTTAGCATGTGTTTAATGTTCTAGGTTCAATTTTGATAATTGATTGACGTAAATTGAGTAAATTCTTAATTTCGATACGAAATGAATCGACGATCGTCGGAACCAAAAAAAAACTTTGATACGTAGTACGTAATATTTGAAGAATTTAGGAACTTATGGATCGGGAATTCGATGGACGGATCTTTTTGAATTGGATTTGTAAGTTCATAAAATAAAATGTTAACTGCCACTTAGTTTTGGAAATTGGCGAAGATCCAACCGTCGGATCGTAACGAAATTTTAGTATATTGTTCTAGAAGCTTAATGTGTATCTTAGGACGTGACGGATTAGCAATCTGAGTTGTGAATCTTCCAGATTGAGTTATTTGGGGTTATGACCCTACCGTCGAACTTAGTCGACGGTTGACCTTTGATCAACTGGTCTCGCATTATTCTTAAATGCCCTTGAGGATATGTGTTATGTGAATTACATATTCTATGTACAAGAGTTCTGAGATGTGGTTTGATAACTGTTTTAGGCACCGAGCGTTCGGGACGCCTTGGTTCTGATGTTAGGGAGTCGTAGTGCGGACCCCAGGTGAGTGGGCGGTTATTTTCTGTATATACCTATATACTACCGATTTTTCCCAGAAATTGAATTTAAATAAAAGTATGTTTTAAAATGCCATGAATGCATAATATATGAAATATATGAATTAGTATTTGATGCATATATTTGAAATGGTGATGTGGACGCACATGTGAGTATTAGGTGAGTTTTATGTTGTTCATGTGATTTATTGATGATGTAAATTGTGTTGAGATCTCATAACCTGCACCCCTGTGTTAGTGCTTATATTATTCACCCCGCACCATACGCTCACCTTGGATCCAAGTAGGTGCATGTCGTACAGACCATTAGAGGTGGTTCCGACATGTTGTACAGGCCATTAGAAGTGGTTCCGACTTGTAGATGACTTTAGACTTATATATTATTATAGCTGTTGATGAGATAGAAGAGAGTAGAGCGTTTATTGAGTTCTTTAGCATTGGTTTGTTATTAGCATTATTTTTGTTCCGAAACCGTTAGCAGATATTTGTGCCATACAGGTTAAATTTTTGATACAGTGGATGTTAGCGGTTTTTGATTGTTGCTTAATTTGATCATTTATTGGTAATTATTCCGTACACAAGAGGTTATTGTATTTGAATGACTTTGGTTAGATTTAGATGTTTTAGTTATATTACAGATAAACCTTTATATAGAAATTATTGAAGTTATTATACATGTCCATTTAGTAATTGTATTGCATTTTGAAAACAAGAAAGTGCTTTTGGTTGGAACCATAGAACTCAGTTGCACGTGATTCTTGAATCACTTTAGTATTTGTAGATAGAAACATCTTTTGGCATTTCAGCTGGCATATTCTCGAAAAGTCCAAAAGACGGTGTTGGTATGACTGTTTATATGGTTAATATACCTATTTTTTTGGGAAAGTATTCTTTATGCCCGTTAATTTTTGTGTTTCACAAAATTTGGGCACCCCTAACTGTCACGTTGAATTGTATCTTAAATTTAAAGCTATCCGAACTGTTGTAAATGGTTAAACACTTTCTTGACAATTCGACGGCCAGGTTACTCCTGCGGACGGGTACCTGAAATAATTAAGAAAAAAAAACGAAAATCATTGTATAAAAGGAATATCTATCAATAAAATAGAAATAAATAGTTAAATACCCAACATTAAATTGAAAAATCAGCATAAGATTTGTAACTAATCGATCCAGATAGGTCCAAGAAAAAAAAAGGCAACGTGTTTCAACCAAATAAGAACTGACATTTCCTTCTAATGCTTCAACTACAGCAAGAGCCTTGTCCACTGCACGAGGGAAGAGAAAAGAGAGACTGAGAGAGGCTACTGGAAGAACTGAACATACGGCGGGAGAGAATGGCTAGAAAAAACAGACAGCGAGATCGAGAGAGAGGGTTACGGGAGTGGGGGAGAAAGAAAGGGATTAGGGCTTTTGTTTTGATCAAATGGTAAAATTGGAAAATAATGGAATAGAGAAGGGGTTTTTTCGTCCAAAAAAGTTCTAATAATATAAGTGAAATAGAATCCAACGGTACATATTTACTCTCATTTATCTTACGGTTGTTATTTAAGTAAAGTCCTGAATAGTTTTTTAATTAATGTAGAAGAATATAGAAAAAATATATAAACGCTCATAATGACAAGCTTTACAACTTTTGTGAAGAGCATAACTTCGAAATTCACCTGTATAATCATATAAATCATAGATCAAAATTTAACCATTGATTATTGTTTACATTTACGCTTCATTTTTCTCATCAAATTTTGTTTTTTTTTTATTATTTTTTTTAAAACATGATCTATTAGAGGATGCAGGAAGATGAACTGTTTGAATCATTAATATTATGTTCAGTGTTTTACGGTTAGTGAAAATATTGCTTGATGTTTGTAAAGTTTCTACAAACTGTATGACATCGACTCATATTTCAGTTAATCGTAAATATCGAAACATGGTATCAAAGATCTGAATCATTCATCTTCTTATATCAACCAAATGATTATGTCATATCCCGGTCCGAGCCCTCACCACATCCCGGGCTCAACTCCACCATAGCACGATATTGTCCGCTTTGGGCCCTGACCACGCCCTCACGGTTTTGGTTCTGGGAACTCACACGAGAACTTCCTGGTGGGTCATCCATCCTGTGATTGCTCTCACGCGAACTCACTTAACTTTGAAGTTTCGATGGAACCCGAAGTCAGTGAGTTCCCAAAAGGCCTCGTGCTAGGTAGAAATGAGAATATACATATAAGGCTTACATGATCCACTCTCTTGGGCGATGTGGGATGTTACAATTATGTTTTCAAAAAAAAAAAAATTTAAAAAATGAAATTTAGTAAGAAGAATAAAGCGTAAATGACAATCGACGGTTAAATATAAATTTAAGGTTTATGGATTATAGTGTTAGATTTCGAAGTTGACCTCTTCATGAAAGTTGTAAAGCTTGTCACTATGAGTGATTGTATATATATTTTTTTATTTTTTTACATTTTTTACACTTCTACAATAATTATTATTTCAAATGAAAAACATTACTCATGAGGGTTTGGAGGATTTTAAAAATCTAAACGATAATGTAAGTGTAACCATTATCTACTCGTGAAGGAATAATGATAGATCACGAGTGTTTATATATTTTTTCACATTTTTCATACTTGTATGTATGTCTTCTTAGTTCTTGCCTATACAAATACTATACTAGGTTATTTTAATTTTCACCCGATAATGATCCGATTAGTTATCATATTAACTCGAAATCTGTTATTTTCGTGTCGTATCAGAAACTGTTGGGTCTATAACTGGTACAAGGTCAAACAAAATTTCAAATAGGGATTTATATGTTATTGGAAAAGCAGTAGCCAATGCCCCTACATTGGCTCCACCACTGATTAGCGCTAGTGGGTTAGAAGAGAGAGATGAAACTCGCACCAGATTGCATATGCATGATTATTTTTTGTTTCGACGGTAAAGCGCCGCAACTATGTACCTAATATATTAATTTTTTTCATATAGCCGAGCCAGTAATATAATCTCGATTCGGCTTCAAAGAGAAGCTAACTAAACCGAAACAAACCAAATCGAATCAAATAACACCGCACCCTACTCGTTTTTAGCAGCGAACAACATTCTTGATTCTCCCTCTAATTTTGTCGAGACCACACGAAAGTGCGAGTGGATATCAAAAGCACCACTCCAGCAGAAAAAATGGCTGCTGCCTTAGCACCATCGCCTTCTCTCCGGTTCAATCCTTACTCCACCCTCCGGCTCCTCTCCTTCTACCCCAGAACCCCACTTCCCCGCCGCACCCCAACTCCAATTTTCCCGCCATTTCTTCCCCGCCTCTCCCGCGCCGCCGCCGTCCCTCGCCGGAGGTCCTTCTGTACCCTCATCTCCGCAGCTCTCCACTCCGGCGGAGCTGCCGAGAGGACGAAACCGGAAATTGCTGAAGATCGGAGGTCCGAAGGCGGCAACAACAGAGTTGGGGAATTCAGGAAGAAGCTCAAGGTTGTGGATGTCAAGGGAGGGTCCGATGAGGGGCTCGAGCGCCTGGGCCAGAGCTTGGTGGTTATGGGTTGGGTTCGTACTCTCCGAGTTCAAAGTAGCGTTACATTCATTGAGGTAATAGCAACAGCATAATTGATGTAACCTTTCTTTTACCCTAATGTTTCAGTTACATTTTGCACCTGAATTTGACGCCTCGTAGTTGAGATTAGATTGGAATATCGATCGAATTAACAAAAAATGTTTTATTTGTGGCTTAATAATATGTGTTTGGTGTTAAATTTTGCACATTTAGGTTAATGATGGGTCGTGTCTCTCAAACATGCAATGTGTATTGGGCTCAGATGCTGAAGGTTATGATCAGGTATTGTTACTAATCACTGTTTAGCAAAATGTGTGTTTCTATCCATGTATATATGTGCTTATAATTTTTGTATTTGACGTTGAACCACGTAAATCTCTTGTGTTCTTTTGAGATTGTTTGTTTTAGCTTTCGCCTACGACGTTGATATTTGGTACTTTGTTAGAATTCACTTCCGCTTGCGCATAAAATTACAACATATATTTGCTTATAATTTTTGTATTTGCTTGTAATTTTACTTCACACCAATGAGTTGTAAGCCACTTGGGTTAGCCCGGAACTTGATTTTCGTGTAATAACTATTGGTTATGTTGTGATCACTATATTCGGGTTGAACGAGTTCTATCTGTATTCATTGGCTGAAGAGAAGAGTTCTATCTATACAAATGTGCGTTTGTTCTGTAACTCTTTTTCGATAAAGTAAACAAATTTTTATGGGGATATTAATTTCCTGATAATTTAATGGCATTTGTGACATACCATCATGTCTTTACTTCAAGCTGTGGAGCTTATTGATAGGTAGAATCTGGCTCAATCACAACTGGTGCATCAATATGGGTGCAAGGGATAATATCTGCCAGCCAAGGATCAAAACAGAAAGTGGAATTGAAGGTCAACAAAATTGTTCTGGTTAGTATTTCCTTTCATTTATGTGTTTCTTGATGGCTCTCTTATTTCTGGTAGATTCCAAGTCAGCTGTGTTGTTGCTTCCGTGCATCTAAGTTCTAACTACCATAACGAATGTTATTCATGTAGATCGTTAATCTTTACTGAACAAAGAGAGAAGATTCTAATTATCAACTTTAAATTATGATTATAAGCTGCAATGGAGTCTCTCTCTGACAAAATGACCTTGATAAGTGGAAACAGAAAATATAGAGTTGCTTTTTTATATATGTAAATACTGATCCGCATTTCATGTGAAATCACACAAGCTTCTACTTTGCTAACAAAACAAATAGAATAATCGTTAACGTTCTTCATCTTGTAGGTTGGAAAGAGTGATCCTTCGTATCCCATCCAAAAGAAAAGGGTCAGTAGAGAATTTTTGAGAACAAAAGCTCATCTTCGGCCAAGAACAAATACTTTTGGTGCGGTATGTGCTGTCATTTCCTTTGTTTCTTACTGTTTCACTACAGTTACAAATGCCATTAGTTCCATTAATCTTTTTAGGTTTTATGTTTCTATTTTCTTTTATTTTATCTAACTTGCCATATGTTGTCATTGCTCCATTTGAGACAGGTCTCTTTGTAGGCGATTGGTGTTCAAATCAGCCTTCCATTTATGTCATAATTGTTTTGGTTGTTTCATCTCACAGTTTTGGTTACTTATCAAACTAGAATTTTATTTTAAATGTATTGGCGAGACATTGAACAATGCATTAGGATATTGGTGATTGCTAATTTCAGTTCAAAGTGAGCTGTATGAAACTGACCTTTGATGGTTGCCTCAGTAAGTTTTGTTTTAGCATGTATTTGCTCAAGCTGAAGTGACAGATCGTGCAGTTTTGTAATATCATGCAATGCTTTTGTCAAAACTCCAATTTTTTATATGTTTTCTTTTCCAATAGTAGCTCACTTACTTAACCTTGTATTTTCAATTGCTGCTCCAATGTATTTAGTGCATCAATCTGTAATGGTATGTTTAGGCTTGTATTCAGTAATAGTTACTTTGAGATATATCCTTACCTGACTGAGAATGACAACTTCAGCGTGGCAAACAATTTATGTGCGTCTTTGAATATTTGCTTTTGGAGTTATGGTGTCTTCTTCAATTATCTTTACTTTTTTTTTGTGATGATTTTAGGTTGCAAGAGTGAGAAATGCTTTGGCATATGCTACTCACAAGTTTTTCCAGGAAAATGGATTTGTATGGGTTTCCAGTCCCATCATTACTGCTTCAGATTGCGAAGGAGCAGGTGAACAATTTTGTGTGACTACTTTGGTGAGCACCGTGGATTAAAAGTTAATTTGTTATGTTTTGGTTCAAAGATTGCTGTTCCTCTGAACTGCTGAAATAACACGACCCTATGCAGCATGTTTATTCACTCCTTTCTTGTTTTATATGCTATTCAGACAAACCTTTACGTAATATTTATACATTAAAATTTCAAAAGATAGTCTGGTAACATAAGAAGATTATGCTGCCACACTGAGTTTAGATTATTAATTCGGTTGGTTCTTCCCTGAATGTGTTGTCCAGTTTTAGTCTAACGAAATGAACAATTTTATGTTTTCCATACTGTGCACCACAAGAATATTACCCTCTATGTTATACGTGTTTGTTTTTCCAAGGAAAATATTCTACCTTGAACTGAATTTATTTGTTTCCTTAATTGTTTCCTTGTATCCTAGTGCCTCCTTGGAGATATATAGCTAAGAGGCCACTTAGAATATTAGTACTGCATTTAGTCTTCTTCTACCATCATTGATTTTAAATCTGCTGTATGTTTCTAAATACTTCTGTTAACTCTTGTATTTGTTTAATGAACAGATTCCAAGTTCTAGAGAAGCCTCTCATTCTCCTGTGGATGGCATTCCAAAATCAAATGATGGCCTAGTTGATTGGTCACAAGTGAGTTGGATGAATTTCCACATTCTAAATTACAACTAAGCAAAGTATATTCTTATGCATAGGTAAAAGGAATCAAGAAAAGTACCTTAGACATTTATAAATATTTAATACTTTAATTTATAAAAATTATGGCATGGTGCTTTGTGTTTTGAATTTCCCCGTATGTTATTTGGACTTCGTATGATGTTTGAATCTTATCAAATTAATGTCATGGTGAATTAATATGAGGTCATTTGGCTTCATGTTGTATTACCAAATTAAATGGCACTGTTATACTAGTAAGTTGTTATATAAACTTCAAGATTGATTTCCTAGTAGACAAATTTAATATCTCAAGGAACCCTCCATGATGTTATCCAGGATGCAGACTATTGAAAAATTGAGACTCAAATCTGTAGACGATGCTAAACTATCCATAGTAAATAACAGTTTAATTTTGCTATTTGGTGTTGGGAGGTTTTTACATTGTGCAACTACAAAAGAGGTTGTAAAGTCAAAGGTGCAGTTTTGTATTAATGATGAAATTGTTGTTAATTATACTATGTCATCCCTTCGTGTTCTGTGTTTAATAACAGGAGTAGTGTTCGAAATTCATTTGAATCTGTTACTTCCAGTAAGACTGGGCTTGATAATATTTGAAAAGGACCAAAGAAAGAGGGTCGTCTTGTTAATTTCTGTTGTTGTGACTTCCATTTGTGAGTTTTCATTACTATTTTGATGTCAGGATTTTTTTGGGAAGCCAGCATTTTTGACTGTCTCTGGCCAACTCAATGCTGAAACCTATGCTACTGCTCTGTCTGATGTATGTTTTTTCTTAACTGCATTGGTTCTTTTCCTCACTTTACCGATTGGAATCACAATCAGTGTAATTTCTTCCAAGATAAATCCATGCATCGTTTTTCCAGGTATATACATTTGGCCCCACATTTCGGGCTGAAAATTCCAACACTTCTAGGCACCTGGCTGAATTTTGGGTAAATTTAGCTCTCTTTTCTTCTTACACATCCCTTTCTTTACTTTAACTGTTTTGGTTGTATTTTTCTGATAATTTTTTTTCCCTATTCTGCCTTGGTTAAGATGATTGAACCGGAACTTGCATTTGCTGATCTGAATGATGACATGGCCTGTGCAAGTGCCTATCTCCAGTATGTAGTATGTTACCTTTCAAAGCTATTTCCTCAACACTACTGTCTGACCGTATTCTTGCAAACTCACCAGCGTGGTAAAGTTGTCGAGATATTGTTATTTTGGATTTTAGAGTAACATATACTTCCATGCTTGAAGGTGAGACACATCCTCGAAAATTGCAAAGAAGACATGGAATTTTTCAACACTTGGATTGAGAAAGGAATCATTGGTCGATTGAGTGTATGACCTCTTGCTGTAACTTGTCCTCATTTTATGTTATACATAACTTCGCTCCATATATTTTGTTTTTGTGTTTTTGTTTTGTTTTCTTTTTCTGAAATGGGTATTCATGTGATGACTAAGCTAAATGGCTTGTTTTCCAAGGTTCCATTAATCATTGTCCCTCTTTCTCTTTCCTCTCTCTCTCTCTCTCTCTCTCTCTCTCTCTCTTTGTGCATCCATCAACAGGATGTGGCTGAGAAGGACTTCGTGCAGTTGACTTATACTGATGCAGTTGAACTTCTTCTTAAAGCAAATAAGAAATTTGAATTCCCAGTATGGCCAACTACTTAAAGCTTTTAACAAATAATGTTATCGCTCTCTGTTGTGAACTAATTTCTCTATGATGGTTATCTAAGTCAACAATGTTTTAGTGTGTATGTAGTGTAACCTGTACAGATAGCCTTCAATAGTCTTCTGTGGACCTATTTGTGTACAACACTATAATTTGACTTTATCGTAACCATTTCTCCTCAGAGCTTTTTGAGAAGATTTAGTTAATGTTTATATCTTCCAGTAACCATAAAATTGCTTGCTACTTTTTGGAGGCTCTTTTGGAAGTGCTTTTAAAACTACTGAAAGTGCTTTTGATGAGGTTGCTTTTGGAACTAATTCTTAGTAAAAATGCAAGTGAATCCTGAAAAAGCACTTAAAAGTTCTTTCTCTAAGAAGCACATAATTGGTGCTTCTTACTGGAAGCACTTAAAAGTTTTTTTCAGTACTCAAAAACACTTCCACCAAAAGCGCTTTCAGCCATTTTAAAAGCACTTCCAAACAAGTCCTGGACCAGGTACCAGTGGCAGTAATGTTATTGACATGTATAGTTTGGATAGCCTCCCACTGGATTGCCACTTTCTGACATTTTGATAATAGACAGCTTTATGCATGTGAATGGTGACTTAGGCCGATGTTTCATGATATTGGATGATGCCTCTTTAAGAATACTTTAGAAAAAGAAAAACTTAGTTGATTAAATTCAGTGAGTCAGAAGCTACTCATAATTTGTTTTATTTTTTATTTTAGAAATTTTCAGTTCTTAAAACATTTGAGAGTCAGTTTTCATTTAGTGTTATCTGGTTACAAAAGATAGTGTTTAGTTCTATCGTTGTATACTGGTACATTTGTAGCAATACTACTCTTCTTTATCACTGTTTTAACTTTAAGAATGTTTTCGACTTTATATTCTGAACTCCTATTCAACATTTATTATCAGGTCAAGTGGGGTTGTGATTTGCAGAGTGAGCATGAACGTTATTTAACTGAAGAGGCATTTAGAGGATGCCCTGTAATTGTCAGAGATTATCCAAAGGCATGAACCCCTCTGTTCTACTTTTTTCTCATCTATGGTAGAAAGGAAAAACTAATTATGACATTTAGGGGGGTGTATTCAGTTGAGAATTTGAGATTTATAAATCCATGAATTTTTATGGAGTTTAATTGATTTGTAGAGATTCCATATAAAATTTTGATTCAATTCCCTCGAAATCTCATGGGAGAGGTGAGATTTGTGGATGCTTAAAATACACTACGAAATCTCTCCAATTCCCTTTAATTCCTTAACTTTCTCAAATTCTTTAAAATCAATTTTTAATTGAATACACCTGGAATGTTATAAACTTCTTGAAAATCCTGATTGAATACCCCCTAGATTCATTAAAAGAATTAAAATCCCTCAAAATCTCAATTGAATACACCGCCCTTAATTCCATTTATTGAATTACTATTCTGAAGCATTCAAGACACATTACTATTTCAGGAGATCAAAGCATTTTATATGCGGCAAAATGATGATGGAAAGACTGTCGCAGCAATGGATATGTTGGTTCCCCGGGTAATCTTAGCGTCTACCATTTCATTTCTATTATAGCTGCCCTCTAAATATCTGTTAATAAAATTTGGTTTGAAATTTATTTTAGCGGGTGTGCTGACGTGTCATACGTACTTTTCAACTCCTCATTACAAAAATATATATATATATATATATATATATATATATATATATATGATGTTATGCTTAGTTGTAAAAAGCCTGAAAATGCATTATTTGAGTTGATCAGTGAATTACCAATGATAATAAAAGGAAAATGTTGTAAAACCCCAAGGTTTTTGGCTCAGCAGTCAGTCGTGTTGAGGCAATTAGTCAGAGTCAGGTCTATAGTGGCAACTTGTGTTTTTTGGGTTGGCTGTTGACTAAGACGACATAACGTAAGATAAGACGAAGACAGAAACATGACAAGACCTGGCAAACATGGTCTTATTTACTAAATGGGTGGCAAGAAGCAACAAGAGTAAGATGCTTACTTTATTTTGGGAGGGTTGCATTTGTCATGTATTTAGTTATAATGCTAAACTGTGTCCTCGTGTGAATTTTTGTATTAATTTTGTCAACAGCCTTTAGTTTAACATCTCGTGTGCTGACACAGCATTGTGACAAGAAAGTTTTCAGACACATCCGTCAACATTTGGCTAATTTCATGTCATTCAGTATTAGTAACATATCTTGTCATTCCTAGATTGTCTTCCTTAGCTGGTGTTGTCCACGGCAATGGTTAACATATTACTGTATGTTCTCGTTTATATGTAATATGAAATGGAATGGGCTATACATGAATATCATGCTCATTGGTGTTGTATAATTTTGTTTTGCCCCGTATATTGATGTACTTCTGTCAGGTTGGCGAGCTTATTGGTGGAAGCCAGAGAGAAGAGAGGCTTGAATATTTAGAAGATCGGTTGGATGAATTAAAGCTGGAGAAGGAAAGCTACTGGTGGTATCTTGATTTGCGTCGTTACGGTTCAGGTACTCCATTTGCTGACTGTTTAGAATCATGTGCTTCTACTCAATTAGAAAATCTGAGCTTGAATTTAAAAACACATACGGAGACATTCTTCCACCCTCATTATCCCCCATAATGTGCCTAAATATACTGACTCGAACACCCACCAACTATACACTCATCCCACCCACCGATCTTCTTCTACAATTCTTTTCATGTTCTCTCACCAAAACTTATACCCGACTCGAGTGGCACAGTTAGACATGGAGAGGACAAATTTGAAAGTAGGCACTGTTTAATGACTGTTGCAGTGATAAAATATTGTTGGCTGCTATGATGTAGAGTCCTGCACCATCCAATATGTTAAATTAGATTTATTTCTGGACTCAATTTATTAGATCTAGCCGTTGTTAATTATCTCGTAGTCCTCTACACTTTTGTTCTTGTAGAAGCATCAAGCGGATGGTGCAATATTGTGCATACGATAACAATATTCCATACCTAAAATAATTGTCCTTGGGTTCACTTCCTGCATAAAGAGTACTGGAACAGTTTCGGTGAAGATTTTCACATTCGTCTAGTTGTAGGAGAAGGATAAAACCTTGGATAATGTATAATAGTATATACTTGTGAAGCTTCTGTATTCCGAGTAGATAAATTGATTAGATACTTGATCTCCCTTTTCCTTGTTTTTCCAGTTCCTCATGCAGGCTTCGGTTTGGGTTTTGAAAGGCTTGTACAGTTTGCAACTGGGATAGACAACATTCGAGATACTATTCCGTTTCCCCGGGCACCTGGTTCGGCAGAGTTCTAAAGCGATGGCTTCCAGTTGCGGAACAAATTTCCCGCAATTTGTATTACTAATTTGTTAACTCATCTATATATAGAGCTGGAGCTGGAGGATAAGTCGGTATTGATTTCTGCACGTTTGTCGCCATTTTGTGGCTGTTTTCTTGACCAACCCATTTTTTGGGAGGTAGCACATTCCCAGTGAAATCATTCTAAAATCTCCTCTGAAACCCCAGAAACGCCATTGATCCTTTACGTAGATTATACGCCTCGGCATTTCGGTATTAATTCAATGCGGTAATAGTAATAAACACACAAATCCGTAGGCAAAGAACAAAACAGTGACTAATTATTTTCTCTCAATTCAATACACTAGACTTTCCCTTGAGAAGATCTACTTCAAGGAACCATTTCTGTATTTAAACAAATGAACAAATGATCTGTACAATGTCGCCCGTGTAGGCTTTTGTTAAAGGAAACCGGAAAACTGAAAACAAGACCAGCTCCCCCTAAAGCTGTAGACGGTGGTAACTCCCCGGGCATTTAAATACAGCATTGGCTCGAGAGTATAGAAACTGCGTGGGGGAGTAACAACTTTGAGAAAGAACCTGTTCGATGAACTTACTTCCGGCACTACCACCATTTTTACTTTCTGAGAGATGCAAGATCAGAAGGAACCTCACAAGTATTTGTATTGATCACTTGGTGCAAAACTTGATATTTACATCTTCATTACGTTGGCTCAAAGTTCCACTTCATGAAGGTCGTCACCAGAACTGCCTCCATTCATTGGTGCACGTGTCAGGGAAGGCTCACTCGGCCTAAACATAGCCACCGGGGACATACCTAATGCCTCCCCTAGAGGTTTTATCTCGCCCGTTTTCATATGAGGGCTTAATACATCATTGGAGCTTCCACCCCATGAAGCCGTTCTTCGTGAGTGGGGTAGAGCAGAGTCATTGGCATTTGTGGCAACTCCCATGCTTTGAATATTACCCATGCTTGGGAACCTTTGCATGGTATTTGATGACGACGATGAAGGCAGTGGAGCATGGAATGAATCATTCATACCAGATGTTGAAAGATTTTCATTAGTTGCACCATCTTCTTGTACACTCTCAGCAATAGCCTCCATTGCGTGTTCATTTGATGATGCTAAGGTGGGAATAAAAAACTTTGCATTGGCAGCAACGGGAGGCTTAACAGATGGAACAGAAGGTGACTGGAACAAGTTTGCTGGGCTTCCACCACCTTGGTTGAATGTGTCAACGTATCTGCCAAGATTCCATGAAAAATATACTCAGGTCAAATTCATTCCCTCACTGTCCTTAGGTTCAGACTCACCGGATGGCGAGTTCGATATCAAATTATGGCCGGCACATTTATTCCCTCATTGATTGGGGGAAATTTTGGTAAAAGGGCATGACTCTCAAGGAATATTATTTCTAATTAATTAATGTAAATTAAGGCTTATAACAAAGCAATGACTTTGTAATGTTTTGTGAATACTGAAAAAGACTTTTAAGAACCTTTTTGAATGGAATGATTTAAAATTGACGGAAAAGAGAGGATGGGTAGGGAGAGAGAGATTGAGAATATATTGTACCTGGATCGAATACCCAACCGTGCACGGGATGAAAATTGATTTGAGCTAGGTGGAATAGGTGGGGTCCCTGAAGTTGGTCCTAGAGGGGTTGAAGTTTGTAAATCTGGGCTGCCCTTAGTAGGAGACCCTTCTTTCTTCACAACAGATCTCAAGTTGTAATCAGAGACACCATTCTGAAAGGGTGTACTTGTCGGGGGAGGAGGCAACGCAGCTTCTTCAGCTGGAGGTTCAACACCTTCCTCAACCCATCTTTTAAGTTTTTCGTCGTAGTAGAACTTGTTTGTTTCACCCAACTTAGCCTTCAGTAGCAAGTAGAAAATTCATTAGAGGAGGTTTACCATAGGAAAGAATAGATGTAGTTATTTCACAGAAAGAAAAGGAGGGAGGGGGTTGAAGGAAAACCTAACATATATGAAAGCATAAACTACCTGTTTTCCCGGGCGGGGTCTTAATACTAAACCAACAGTCTTTTGCAACAGCTGTGACCCGAAACCAAAACGAGAAAAGCGAGAAGTCCCCCCTGAGGCTTTTCCTTGGCCATCAGGTGAGGCAGTTTGCTTTGATGAATCAACCTGGTCCCATAATGAGTTAAGATATCACAAAAATTGCACATGCAAGCACACAGAATCAAAGAGGTGATTAAGTGCACATATACGGTGTTGAAATGTGTTGACCAAGTAAGAGCATACATGAGTGAATTTGAAATTTACACGTTTGGAAGATTTGACACACCTGTCTTGGAGTTCTACCAAAATCTGGCTCTGAAACACTTCTATTGTGCATTGGCTTTCTATTGCCATCAGATGTCCAGTCGCTTATGGGTTCCATTGAAGCAGAAGGAATTAACGACGACATGGCCATTGTTGATTGACTACTAGAAACTCTAGGGCCCGTGGGCTGTTGATAATGTTCATTACCGTGAGCACTTCCTTGGGATGTGGATGGTGCAGGTGGTGGTAGGCCAACAACACGATGTGCAGTACTATCAAACAGGTTGAGCAATTTACCAACAAACTTTGTAGAAACTAAATTTACAGAGTATCCCCCCTGCAAATGGAATGTGCATTCAGAAGGATTAGTCATATTAGCTTAAAAACAATGAATATACAAACAATAGGACAAAGAACATAGAAACAACAGGACATAGAGGTACCTGCTGATGGGTTTTAATCCTCTCCTCAAGAGATAATACTAGTTGCTTCCACGTTTCCACTTCAGGTGCTCTACCAGTTTTCAAAGACTTTAGTATTGTTTGACAGTACCTGAATCAAATGAACTTGGTTAAGAAAACAAGTCTGAAATAAAATATCAAACAGAAGATAATTGCATGTGCTTACTTCAACGAGTCAGAAACTCTTCCAACTTCAGCAAGCATGTGCGCATATATGAGCTTATATGGCTGAAATGGTAGAAGGATGAACTGAGAGTTCCCAAGCACCCTTGAATATTCATAGAGTTCAGTTCTCTGTCAAAAAAAAAAAAAAAAAAAAAAAAAAAAAAAAACAAACAAAAGGAAAACTGAGTATAAGCTCCAGAGACCATTACTTAAACAGAGAACTAATAAAAAGTCCCTCACAAAACTTTTTTTCAAAAAACACTTGGACAATTTTTCTTATTTTTAAAGACATTTTTGTATTATAAAGACAAAAACAAAAAAGGAGTCGCACTTCTTGAGGGTTTTGAATTAAAAAAGAAATGTGCTTAATAATAAAGAAAGTGTCCTTAGTGATAAAAAAGGGTGATGCTATCTGCACACTTATCTTGACCTCTCACACAACCCTCTCAATTTCCGGCCATCATCGGATCGAATGAATTGAAGAAGATCAAAGGACAAAAATTAACAAGGGTGTGTGAAAAGTAAAAATAGGTGTGTGAATAGCACTACCCATAAAAAAAAGGTGACCTAAATGATAAGAAAATTCTCTACGAGTTTTTGAATAAAAAAAAAGGTTGTGAGGGACTTATTAATTTTCTATTACTTATAAAAGTAATTTATAAAAGACTCAATTAAGCAACTATTATGCCTCATTCCATATGAATAAACAGAGAAAGAAAACAAAGGAACAGGTTATGGTGCAACGTTAATAATGCATATCACGGTATACAATAGTTGAGAAATTCCATTAGGAATTAGGCGATGTCAAAAATTTAAAAAGAGAGGCAAATGAAACTATCATGTGATCTACAGTGTCCAACCTGGCTTTTGCTATATATAATACTAGAAAGTTACAGAAAGCATCAACTTTCAACCCTGCAACCTATGATAAAGCTACCATATAAAGTTACGTGGGCTCCAGATTCGCACTGCTGCTCTAAAAACATGCATTCTGCAAGACATTACTCGGGCACCAAATAATAACTAGCACTAGAAGTTTCTGAAAAAAAAAAAATCAGGAGACAACGCATAAAAGATAACAGCACTCAGAAAGCACCTGAATGGCTTCTGGACTCGCATAAGTACGAGGTGACTTCCAGTGATCTGCTCCAATTAGACATAGCCTTGCACTATCTGAGTATGACTCAAAATTTGCTTCTGCCACTAAATAGCAGATGTGTGCTGCAGTAATCTGAAACACAACTGATGTCAGAGCGAGGGAGAAAAAAGATTAACATATTTAAAGGAAAATAATTAAATGTAACAATATCATACCTCACTCCTATCCTTCCATAAACAATCTCCCAGATGTATAATTACCAGTTCATCATCTTTTGTTCTGTTTGCAGTTATCACAGCCAAATTCTCCTCCCAGTCATCAAGCATTTTATTTGCACCAAACTATAGTTGCACAAAATAAAAAAAAGGAATTTTAATGCACAGGAAACTGCTAAAAAATGGGTACAAGAAGATACAATTAGAGAAAATATTATTTTAATTGTACTACCAACTTCGGCACTAACTTATCGGTGTCCCTAAATGAACTTCACTATATGTATAGTTATAAGAAGCAACATCAACCGATCCAAGAAACAATTCTCTCAGATATTCTAGCTTCTGTCCTTTATAGGGACCTCTTCTCTTGCTCTTATAAGTTTCCTCTTTTTTTTTTTTTCATTGCTATCGAGACTAAATACATATTTACTTTTTTCTCTTCCATTTCCTTTTCAAAAAGGAACCACGGCTATCCCAATAGGTAGTTTTAAAATGAATATCTCACCTGTGCAGGCTGTTGAGATGTACTTACAGTGCCTGGAAGATTGATCTCAGCTGTAGTATCAGCAGAGAACACTTCAGCAGGTTGCCCTGCAATTAGCAGGCATAAAGTCCGCAAAGGTGATCCTGCAACCAGCTGGCGGAGTGCCATTTGCTTCACAGTGTCCACATAGAACTGAAGTTGCCCCAAGCCGCCCCCCCACCAGACAAATAGAGAGAGAGAGAGAGAGGGAAAAAAAAAAGGTGAGAAGAGTGCAAACTGTCAATGTACCTCAAAAGAGTAAAACTATAACATCAATGGCCTACAAACCTGTTCTCCAAGCTGTGAAGCAATAACAAGCGCAGGTCCCCACAACTGACCACCTTGTGCACACTGTAAAGCCTCTTTCTTTCTACCAGAAACCAGAAAATTTTGTACCTCAGAAGCAGTTGCCTAGGAAACACAACCAAACCTATTAAAATTGAA